TTTAGGCCATGCACAGACAGAGTCCCGGGCCCAATTGCTCGTGGCACCATGCTCATCTCGAGGCGGGCCGGGGTCGGTCCAGGGGCAACCGACATTGTGTACTGGGCCCAGTTTCTCGTGTTTGTGCTTGATCTTATCTTAGTCCATGGGCTGCGTTTTGGTTTCTAGTACTTTGTACTGAATGAAGCGCGCACCCACTTGTCCACCAAGGCTGCAACGCAATCAACCAGTTCCCCAGCGGACAATCAGCATTGAATTGTAGCCTGGCTTATCTGGTAAGCTTCTCTGGCTGCAAGACTCGGCGGAGGCCTGCCCTCACTCTCCCGAACCCCGCCCCAGACTATTGGGTGGGCCCAATCACTCCTCATTCCCGGATAATCAGCATGCAGCATCTTGTATCTTATTATGTCTTATTATGGATTACATGTTCTAACTCTGTTGCAATTCTGGTGAAGGGACGGTGGAGCCCATTTCCAGCAAGTGTTGCTCCCCACCTATAGACGGGAGCGCTCGGCGGCAGGTTCCGAAGCGGTGAAAAAGAAAAAGAAAAAAAAAAAGCTTCCCGACTTCCTCTCCATCTGCCTCTCTATCTGCTACGAACAATTGTCTGTCCTCCCGAGCTATGTCTTCTCTTGGTAGCTCAAGTTCTGTGATAGAGGGGTGTCCCGAGGCGTGTGCCGAGTCATGTCTTTGCAGCCTTGAGCTAACCAGTGCGTTTTGTAATATACATTATATACTACAAAGCTATACTCTTCTCTCAATATGTCTCACACACCTAGCAAGCAGCCGCTGAATTGGTTGGTAGATAAGTTTCCCTACTAGCGTTTGGCTTTCTCTGTCTCAGCCTAACCCCTGGCGAAGACTGGAAGGGAGGGGGCCCCTACAAGATCAGCCAAGGGGGGGGGGGCAAGCCAACCATCTCAGCTGTGAACCCGAACTGGTCCCCAGCGGCGACGGGGAATCAGACAGATGATGTCGGGAATAGAACCCACCACCTCCTGAATGCCACTCATGCGCTCTACCAACTGAGCTAGGCCTACCCAGATCTATCTGCCTCTGGGAAGGCGAGTTATGTGCCCGGACCCATGTCTGCTCTGTGTACTCAATTCTGTTCGCAAGCCATGTCCCGAGGCATGTCGCGAGCCATGTCTGCTGATACATGCTCGATTGAGCGATGTATATGGAGCCAAAGGATCCGCAAAGTGATGAAACGGACTCGAATGAATAATGCAGCATCAGCGAAGCATCAACAAGCAATGCACATCCAGATGCATACAAAAATAACACAATGTAGCGCAGCTGAAGACTCAAAGATATGACCTGACCTGTCAGATACTGGCGCGACTAAACCCATCACAACCACACATGTGAGAGACAAGTAGGGACTGCATGCATAGAAGAAAGGTCCCTCCTTTGATACGCACATGGGGAGATACCACGGATGAGGTGAGGGAGGAAGGGCAAGACGAAGATGGAGATGAGGGAGAAGACCAAGATTGTGATACCGAAGTCCAAAATTTGTCTCCCTGCCGAATGTCCAATCAATGTCTCTGCCGCAAAAAAATGTCGAATCAGATCCTGGGCCTCGTAGCCCGACATAACCTCTGCCTGTAACCTCTCTCTCTCTCTCTCTCTCTCTCTCTCTCTCTCTCTCTCTCTCTCTCTCTCTCTCTCTCTCTCTCTCTCTCTCTGTGTGTCTCTCTCTCTCTCTCTCTCTCTCTCTGAAAGATGAAGAAGAAGAAGAAGAGAGGAGACGGAGAGGAAGAAGAGGGAAGAAGAAAAGATGCAGGGCCAGAACAGGAAGAAGACGAAGATGTCGTCCTCGTCGCTGTCTCACCTGCAGGTAACTGCCGCCATGTACTAACGAGCGGGTGTGTCCCTCTGTGCTGCAGGTCACTGGCGAGAAGTCCAGCTATGGCGCCCAGGTAGGTCCTCCGCTGCTTCAGGTATGGCCACCGCCTCTCTCTCCCTACCTACGCCTCTCCCTCTAGCGCAGCGCTGTATTGCGCTGCTCCAGCAGCGTGTCGCCCAAGAAGTGAGCTAATCGAACTGGTGTGTGCACTGGACTGGCCCAGCTATCTATAGCACTGGGCCTGGCTGGTGTGCTCCCGGTCCTGGCCTGAAACGGCCTGCCTGGGTCCCTACCGGACGTCCAGGCCCTCCCTGCTGATGCCGCAGGGAGTGTCCGCTACCGGACAAAACTGAACCTGGCCCGAAAGGGCCTGGCCACGAATGGAGAAGGCCCAAAACGTGGCCTTGGTCCGAACACACTGCAAGTCCAGATCCATGTCCCAAGCCATGTCCCGAGTCATGTCCCGAGCCATGTGCCTAGCCATGTCTAGTCTGGGTAGTTCAAGTGTTGAGCTACCCAACTTTCTGATCTGGATGGTTACTCTGTGACCGAGCCATGTCCCAGCTGATGTCCCGTCTCATGTCCCGATCCATCTCTTCTCCATCTCTTCTCTGGTTGGTTAGCTCAAGTCTTGAGCTATCCAACAATCTGCTCGGAATAGCCACTCCGTACTCGAGCCATATCCCAGGCCATGTCCGGAGTCATGTCCCGAGCCATGTCCCAGGCCATGTCCTGAGTCATGTCCCGAGCCATGTCCCGAGCCAGTCTTCTCTGTGTATTTCACGCTGTTGTCTTCCTGGGTTTGGCACGGTAGTGGAGTGGGTTTGAGACTTGCAATCCGCTCAAAGTGGAGTACACTGACAATGAAGGACTGTTCCCCCGAAGCACATAGTGGCATTGGACGGAGGTTGGAAGAGTACCGGCGGCGGTGGGTTTGAGACTTAGGACTCGCCCTAACTGGGACCTAGCAACAAGAAAAAAAATCCACTGATCAGATAGTGGCAGTGGATAGAGGCCGGAAGAGTACCAATGGGTCGTTTGGTACATCCGTTGAAATTGGAATGATACGGAGAAGATTAGTGTGGCCCCTGTGCAAGGATAAAAGAAAAAAGATTACGGAAAAAAAAAAAGGAATAGTACGCGGTAAAAAAAAAAAAAGGAAAGAAAAGGAAAGAAAAGAAAAGGAATAGTATGCGGTGGGTTCGAGACTTCGGATCGGAAACGAAAAAAGTATGACAAGAGCAGTCAAAAAAAAAAGGGGGCCGTGACCTTGCGTAAGCCGGTGCAACTGCGCTCTGCTACACGTTACCGGGTTTGGCAGAACCCGAGCCACCATTTAGGACGCTACCATCGACGATAGTGCCCTGGAGTCGTCCCTCCAAGCGCTTCCACTGAGGAGCGAATATGGCGAAGGTCTAGCCATAGGAGAGGTCGACAGGAGGAGGAAGTGAACCCCCCCCACCCACACAGTCAGACGAGAAGACCAGAAGAGTGAAGAAAGTTAAGAGAAGAGAGTGAGAAAAGAGTAGAAGGAGAAAGAAGTAAGAGCATTAGCTAAGAGGAATAGGAAGATGGAGGGAACGCCGACTCAGGAGGGGACGGGGAGATCTCCCCCAGCAAGGCCGTATGAAGAAAGAGACTACTGGGAGGATGAAGATAGGATCAGGAGTTTGTTAGCAATGTGCTTCGCGTTTATCCAATGGAGATAGACCCAGGAGAAATGGTGGTGGAAGGCACAGAGGTTAGGTTCAAACTTAACACTTCGTTAGACGATATCAAGGTCAAATGGCTCAAGGAGCGCACAGTGACAGTCGTTTTTAGAGACGAAGCAAGATTCCTGCTGAGAAGGGTCAAAGACGATCTGGTGAGGGCCTTTGAAGACGGGTGGATAATTGGGAACGGAGATTTACCGCAGAACGAACGGAGAGGGAGAATTAAGATCGAAGGTCCCGGGGTGGCGTCCTACGTGGCAAAAGCCAAGGACGTCGACGAGTTCATGATAGCGGAGCAATTAGTCGAAGTGACCCTAGGGGACACGACCTATAAGATTCTGTTCAAACCATGGATGACCCGAGTAGAGTTTAGGAATCTGAGGAAACAGGAGGAGGATGGCGTTTTTTGGGTGATGGCACTTCAAATTCCACTAGACGATATGCCATTTATTTACGCGCAAATTGAAAAAGCAATAGGGAAGATTATCCTCGCACACCCGACAAACGCAGATCCTAGGGGACCAGCCTTAGTCAATGCTCGATTCGATCTCGTTCCAGAAGCCCGTCCAAATATGAAGGATGTCCTCTGGATCGAGACGGCAAAGGGAGACACATTGGAAATCAAGCTGGCGTCATCTGGCACAATCAAGTGCAGAACATGCAAGCAATTCTTCCACTCGGAACAAGAGTGCCGAAGGAACGAAGGACAACATGCAGGTGGACCCGGATCAAGCTGCCAACCACAACAGCAGCATCAGCGGCAAGCCACACCGTTGAACAGTGGTGGACAAAATCCTAGGTATCAAGGACCGTTAGGCCCCAGACCAATAATTCCAGCTCCGTCCGGAGCTGCAAGCCACAGAGGGATGATACGGATGAATCCGACCTTCTCACCTCAAGGCAATGGAAGAAACATTCAAGGAATGCAGCAGCAAGCAGGGGGAAGGTCGATGCTTGGTGATATGGGAGGCGGCGGCCCGTTCCAAGGCCAGATGGGAGTGGGGATGGCAGGAGGCTTCCCCCAGGGCCCGGGACAAAACGGAGGGCAGGGGATCTACGGAGTGCCTATCCATCAGGGTGGACAGTTGGGGGCATGGCAGGGAGGAGGGGTATCAACGGAATGGCTGTTAGCTAATGGCATTCACCCGGCCTTGTGGGCGGGGTTGTTGAACGCGCACGGAGGAACTCCACTGAGAAGCCAAGGGGGCGGTACTACGACCCAACAAGGTCAAGTGCCATTCGGCATGCAGGAAGGAAGACAAGGGTATCCGGAAACAGAACAGCCAATTGGGGGAAGACCTAGCGAAGCAACAGGCGGGGACCGAGCAGGTCCAAGCATGGGACCGGACCAGAGCAGGAACAAGTCCCGAGGAGCAGGCAAACAAAGGAGACTTAGTACGACCCTTCAGCCGGAGATTACACCAGAACCGTCGAGAGGATCGAGACTCTCAAGAAGTGGCTCGGAAAAGTCTGTTGGGCAGGACTTCGGAATGGCGACACCGGGAAAAAGACAACGAGGGATCGGAGGTTGGTCGCATTACGCGACCAAGCCTTGGAGATGCCACAGTGTTTAGTACCATTGGTCTGTACAGCACTCAGGAACACACAATGGGTGGTGTCGTGGCAAAAAAGTACGGGCCCGGTGCAAATCTTCGGCCAAACGGTCTCGGAGATGCCAACGACGACGGAGATTGAAAACTGCTTAAGGACGCTGTATCTTGACTCCTTCCCCACGAGGGTCATTCCAGACGTCATGATGGATCATTTTCGGCCCAGCTGGGAATAGAATCAAGTTCTACACCTCGCTGGTGGATGCAAGGATAACGGAGCAGAAGCTAATGGAACTCGAACCACTAGGCCTGAGGCTAATCCCCATGAGTCAATTTATGGAAGCGAAGAAGCAAGAGTTGGCGAAATTCATGATCTCGCCGATCATGATAACAGCAGATGCTATAGCGGAACTGAAGTCGAGGCTACCGAAGGACAAGAAGCTTGGCTCCAGCTTCCTCAAGACAACACTCACGCAAAGCTGGCCGGTTGATAGGATGACACAAGCTCGAATCCAAGGGCAGGAAGGAGCAGCAATGATGAATGGGCAGAATTAAGATCGCATCATGGAATCTGTAGGGTTTCGGGGATACGTCCGGAAGAAGTAAGCGGGCGAGAGTGAAGACGTGGCTCCATGACAACAAGATTTCGATAGCCTGTCTTCAGGAAACGAAGTTGGATAACGAGAAGTTGGCAATGCTGGGAAGGTGGTGGGAAGGGCCGCAGATCTGGTCTGCGGCAAAAGACACCAAAGGAGGAGTTGGGATACTGATCCACAGGGATTTGGGAATGCAGATCTTGGATTACTACGCGGACCTTTGGGGCCGCTGGGCTTGGGTCGTTCTGCAAGAAGAAGAGCACAATGTCATCTGGGCAATTGCGTCGGTATATGCCCCAGTGAGAAGGAAAGAAAGAATCTCCATTTTTGAGGAGCTGCGGGTAGCCCTCCGGACGTGGACGACATCATCATTGGCGGGGATTGGAACACGGTGCTTGATGTCCCGCCAGACCAGAGAGAAAAAGGAACATCGAAAGATGTTCTCTCCCTGGTGGATCTGATGATGGATCTCGATCTTCATGACGTGTACAGGGATTTGCACCCTACTGAGATGGGCTACACATGGTTTTCACACAGGGGGAAGGGGAGAAGATTGGACTACCTGCTGGTCGGAGGGAACCTCAAGAACCAATTGATCAACATCGAAGAAACCATCAACCCGGTCTCAGATCACAAACCGGTAACAGGACAGTTTAACATTGGGACAGAACAGCTGAAGGGGAGAGGATACTTCAAGCTAAACACGCTGAACTTGCAGTCAGAGGGGCTGAGTCAATGGACTCAGGGTTTCTGGGAGCGCTGGCAAAAACAAAAAGACCATTTTGCGACGCTAGCGGATTGGTGGGAGGCAGGATCTAGGATTCTGTCCAAACTGTTGGATGTTTTCTCAAGAATACTGGCCTTAAATAGGAATAGGGAGGAGAGGAGGTGCTGGAAACAAGTTCAGATAGCAGAAGAAAACATGAAGAGGCATCCTATCTCAGAGCTGACGTGGGGAAAAGAAAGAGCCCGAAGACTGGCAATCTGGGACGAGAAGCAGCAGGAGAAATCGGAGCTATGGGCGGAGAGACTCAAAGTGAAGGGGCTGGAGGTATACGACAGAATGACCAGAGAAACGTTCCAAAGGTTGAGCCCGGCAAGAACTGCCACGACATTGAAGGAACTCAGACACCCATTCGACCCAGAGGAACCAACAACAGCAGACCCCAAGGCACTGTGCAGATATGCAGCACTTTACTTCCAAGACATCCTGACGTCAAGGAGGCAGGAGGAAGGAGGGGACACAGACTTAGCAACAGACTCGGACCATTGGAATAACACAACTGTTCGGTTGACAACGCAAGGGAGGTTAGATCTGGACCGTCCGATAGCGAAGGAGGAGGCGGAACAAGCGCTGAAGGCAATGGCAAATGGGAAGACCCCAGGGAACGACGGCCTCCCGGTAGAATTCTACCGCAAGCATCGGAACCATCTAGGGGAGGATCTAGTCGCAATCTACAATGAGGTACAAATGGGCGGTAGACTTCCAAACAGTGCGTGCAGAGGAATAATCTCGATTCTGTTCAAGAAGGGAGATACAAGCGACATCCGTAACTGGAGGCCAATTTTGCTGCTAAACGTGTCGTACAAAATATTGGCCAAAGTGTTAGCTAGGAGACTGGGCATGTACTTACCTGACCTTGTGGAAGATGACCAGGCGGCATTTGTCAGAGGTCGATACATCTATGAGAACATCGTCACAACGGTGGAAGTCCTAGAAGTGGTTAGTCAGGAGGATCTAGATGTCACGGTGTTGTTGCTAGATATGGAGAAGGCGTACGACCGGGTCAACTGGTTGTACGTCCTAACCTCGCTCAGATGGATGATGGGATTTGGAGAGAACTTCCGAAACTGGGTAGTAGCTCTCTATTTGCTGTGAACTGCTGCTGTAATGGTAAACGGACACTTCTCAGCCCCTTTCCGCCTGTCACGTTCGCTGCGCCAGGGATGCCCCCTGGCACCCCTTCTTTTCGTAAGACATTTAGAGATCCCCTTAAATAACATTAGGAATAATGCTAATATCCTGGGGATAGATGTAGGACAGCGGGCATGTAAGGTGAAAGCGTTGGCTGACGATCTGTTTGCAGTCTCGGCCAACACAAAGGACTCAATGTCAGCCCTGCGGTACTGTCTTCGACAATACGAGGAACTGTCTGAAGCAGCCATCAATTGGTCGAAGTCTGTTTTTCTCCTTCCTCCAGCAGTAGACTGGGGGATGAAACGTACTCAGAACGACAGCTCGGAGAGGTTTTTGGGAGTCCAGGTTGCACTCACATCATGTGCGCTCAGACAAGAAGAAATCCTGCAATCCAAGGTTCTGCAGAGAATGACGACCTGGGGCAAGGCCCTGCACCTGTCCATCTCCGGCCGTGCCTTAGTCATAAATGTTGCATTGTTGGCCCTTCTCTCCTTCGTGAGGAATGTAAGCCCGGTGGGAAAAAAGACGCTAGCAGTGGTGAAAAGGAAAGCAGCAAGGTTTATCTGGAAGCCATTCGCTGAAGAGGAGAACACAGTCATGTCGAAAGTGGCATGGGAGCTAATCTGTGCTCCCAGAATAGAGGGAGGATTGGGTATGGTGGACCCAGGGAAAAGGAACCTGGCTATGTTGGCAAGATGGGTAGTTCGGGCAATCACCACGCAAGAAGACAAACACTGGATCTCCCTAGGGGAACGGATTCTGAGTAGAGAATGACAACTCAGACGGAAGACTGATGTCTGGGCCTGTGTTTGGATAGAGTCCTATATTAGGAGGAAGTTGAAGTCAGAGTTCTGGAAAGCAGTTCTACAAGCCTGGGAAAAACTGAAGCCGGATATGCTGTGTGAGCCAAAAACGAAAGAAGAGGTACTGTCCCAAATAATCTTCGAGAACCCTCGCATCAGAGACAGCAGAGGAAGGATGCTAATGGCGAACGCAGAACCGGGTAGTTTCCGAAGGGCATGGGTAGAACGGGGGGTGGTTAGACTGAGGGACCTAAGGAACGCGTACACATGAACCTGGCGCACAGGGGAGGATCTGGAAGAAGCCCTGGGACCCGACAGATACACGAGACAAAGGAGAAGTCAAGTATTGGAAGCCATCCCAGTGGAATGGCTTCTGATACTCTCGCCGGCACAAACGAACCCAGTAGGAATCTGGGTGGAAATGGAATAGGAACAGGAGCGGACTTCATCGTCAACAAGAGTCTTCCTGAGGTTGGTAGAGCTTGGTGAAGGAGGCAGGAAATTCCAAAAATGGCAGCAGGTCAATGCGAGTGGGGAAATGGAGTACGATGAGGAAGAGGAACTCATCACAGTGCCAAAGGGGAGGTTAGTGGAAATTAGAGTGAGAGAGATATAAATGAAGAAGGGGAATGGAAGGCCAAACTGTGGAACTCAGGAGCACCTCTGGCGTCCCTTAAAGCAGACCCAGATCAGTGGGCCTGGAGGAGCAGAGGACCAGGGGGAGAACACGCAAAGCTAGACGAGTACTCAATAGACCTGGCCTATGGAATGCAAGCCTCAGCACGCACTCCACTAGCAACGGCTACACAAAGATGGACGAGGGTACTCCCTGAGGATGCATAAAAGATAAGCCAAGCACTGCAGAAGTGTTGGAAACAACTGGCAAACTCCCCAAACCCGAGAGCAGCTGCCATCTCATGGTTGGCCTCGCTGTTGGCCACCCCCTCAGCGGTATGGCTGACGAGCAGAGGAATGTAAATTGATACACAGTGCAAAAGGTGTCTTTGGACCTTTGAATCTATCTGGTGGGACTGTCCAGCTTCCAGAAGGGTTTGGGATTGGTGGGCCCAGCAATGGGAAAAATGGGTAGGTAGAGAGCTCAAGTGGGACAAAGAGTGGGTTTTATTGGGAGGGTTGCCAGACTCCATGCTGTTAGACAGAGGGTGGGGGTATGTGGCACAGGCAACACGAGCGGTAGGATTCTGGATCTTTTGGAAGGAAAGAAACAGAACGCGCTTCGAAGGGAAGGTTATGCCGGACCCGGAAATAAAAGCTACATTTAAAACGATGATCCGGAGAATGATGGCAGCAGACTGGAGAAGAAGGGCCTCAAGAGGGAGGCTGGTCTTCGCCGACTGGTTAATTAGTTAGGTAGAAGGGAAGTAGAGGACCAACCAGGTGCACTCGGTTGTTAAAATCCGCAGCAGGAGGCAGAGGGAAGGGGAGGATAGGAGAGTGCCCAGGACTTAGAGGACAAAGGTCCACCCTACCGAAATAGGCAGGGAAACGGGGGAGTTACCCCGGTAGGCTAACCAAGTAGGATAATAAAACAGTGACAGGAGAATGTGTACGAGTTGGATTGGATGACGAGACGTGAAGAATTGCAGGAAGTAAGAAGGGAGGTAACAGTGTGGAAGAGTATGAAAACTTGAGTAGTGGGGCTTGCCCCCAATGTCCGCTGGGTCACACCCAGCGCTTGGTATGCTTTTGTTCCGGGTTGTTTGTGAGGAATTCCCGGCCTCAAGGACTATAATAATGAATTCCTTGCTTTTTCTCAAAAAAAAAAAAAAAAAAAAAGACTTCGGATCGGCCCATCGTCGTACATACCACCGACAAAAATTCGACCTGATCACTTATGGTAATAATCGACACGCATGATGATGTTACAAAAAAAAAAGAAAAGAAAAGAAAAGAAAAGAAAAGAAAAGAAAAGAAAAGAAAGAAAAAAGGGACACAGACGTTGGTGGACAACTGCCGGATAGAGTACCCTCAGAGCATACTCACACTAGCACTATTTTTTTTTTTTATGTATGTGGCTGGGTTCCCGACCCCCAGCTGATGTATCTGACTGTAATTACGTCCAGAGCTGAGTAAAAAAAAGTCACTAGTGTGAGAATACCCTCAGAAGAGTGGTGTAATGCGGGAGGTTTTGGCGGAAGGATAGAACTGATGCTAAACGATCAACATGGCGACCCGTATCTATGATATGATAATCGGCCTTTCCAAGTTGCTCCACTGCTCAAACATTCTTAAACGTATCTGTACCTGGCAATGGTCCCAATACATTCAAAATGCTCGATCAGTACAGTGTATCTGGTCTATTCAGATACTTGTTGAATGTTGAGTCTCCTGGCTGTCTCCCTCGTTCTCCACACATAGGGCCTCACTCCACTACTCTGGACATGCACAAAAGACAAAAATCCTGGTGGTGTATCTTTCCATCTTCTTACGGAAGATTCACTCTCGTTTTGCTCATTTTGAGAGTAGTGGAGTGAGGCCCATACTCTTAAGCAAACAGCAGGCTACACCTCACACAACCCGCTGGAATCCTGGGAAACATTTTCGCCCCACGTGTGCTCGGTTGGTGTGCTGGGTTTGTGGTGGGTCCCTGTTTTTTGCATTTAATTTTACAGTTTTTTCAACTTTTCTGTCTTTTTACAGTTTATGTCCTTTCTCTCCCGGGGCTAAGTCCCACATACACCGTTGAGCCAGTTCAATGTTGAACTAGCTCAACGTGTGTGACCCCACGGGACGTCTGAGATGCATCGGGAGCTGCACATCCAGCGGTTGTTCCTAGGTGTATAAAATACAAAGACTTTCGTTTTTGTTTTTTGGTTCAAGAAAGGTGCTGAAAAATCCTTCTGCCCGGATGCAAAGCCCCCTACCCTGCCCATCTTCTGTTGAACTACAGACCCCACTTGGAGTGGGGTATGGGTTCAACGGTGCTTGTGCCATCATCACCTTCTGTGGGAGGACACTCTGACAGCCGTGGCAGGACACTCTGACATTCTGTGGGAGGACACTATGACATCCATGGGAGGACACTCTGACAGAGTGTTCATGCTGTGTTTGGCTGTGCAGCCCGAAACTTGTTTCTGCGAAGGCACCAAGCCAGGAGTACTGTCTACGTTCATTTCATGTTGTAGTGAGTCCATGTCTCCCACGTTGCGTACTATGCGGAGTCTTTCACTGAGAATTGTTGTATTTTCCATTTTACTTTTAGAAAATAGCATTTGGTTATTCATTGTTTTTCGGGAAATAGGGGAAAAAAAGCTTTGATTCTCCTTTTTTGCCTTTGTTTTGAGTTTTTAAGTCGCAAAAACTGTGTCACACCGTCGCGTTGAGCTAGTTCAACGGTGCATGTGGGACTTGGCCAACGGTTGTGACCCGCTTTTTGTCATTTTCTGAAGCTTTTTTTTTTTTTTTTTTTTTTTTTTTATACAAAAACAGGCCCTTATGGTCCTGGCTCCATTTCCATTATGGGGAGCATCAGTCCGGTTCCTATTCCACCGGCAAGTCAGAATAAAAAGTTACATCATAAGTACTCACCCACGCTTCCTTCCGTCCGGCCGAAGGACCCCTGACCAGCATTGATTGGTCCAGCATCGTGGAGGATTAACTGTCAGCTTGCCCTGCTTCATCCTTTCCTCTCAGGTCTACTGTGAAAACCTGTCGTATAAAGCATGAYTAGCGAGRAAGGTCCTAGAARCTGACAAAGCTGACAATTTTGTGTTAAYTGTAAATCCCCCATGTGAGGCACCTGATAAGTCTGCTATTCTGAACCGTATTTACCCTAATTCTGACCAAACCCTAAACCCTAAACCTTCAACTGTAGGTTTTCTCCTCCCTCTGTCCTAAACTTTCCTTTCTCCCCTAATGTTGTCTTCCGAACCCATTTCCTATATTCGTTATACCTTACTACCCCCTTCACTTAACCTTCCTTGCCTTGCCTCACTTTAATTCTTATGGCTGCCTCAGTTCCTGTGTCAAAGGTTGATCATCTATAGTGACCTCCTGGCACTCCTCTTTGAACCAATGGAAGATAAGTCTCTCTCCTTCCATAGTCGCTACTTTGC